TTGTTGAAGGACTAGAAAATCTTGAAATCAGTGAAATTGTGAGGGTTGGGCATTCATCAGGAGGACAGTCAATGATCTGAATATCTGCTCCACACTCATTTATTCATTTAATAATGATTTAATGAGTACCTGCTATAGGGTATTTATAGTTCTATAAATGCAGAAGTGATCCAAACAGATCAAGACCTACTTATTAATTAGAAAGAGGAAGCAGAGCAAAACCAGTAAATAGGTTATCAGGGAATGGACAAGATAAAGGGCACATTGGGACTCAGCACATGGGGGCCCACTGCCAGACCTGAGTTGCCTAAAGCAAACAAACTAGAACCCACATTTTATCTGTGGATCACAGTTACAAGAACTATGACACATCCCTCCAGCTGCCACACATCATAACTGCCAGAGGACTTCCCTTTTCTCCCATTTACATTTATTTTTAAAGAAAAAATAGAATTTGTTGAAAGGATAGTGGAGATTTACGGAATCAGTGGAGGAGTGGGCAGTATTGAAAAATGATCCCACAGCCTAGCAGTCCTGAGGGTTGAGAGGCAGAACATCCAATAGTATAGCTTTGGTTTTTTAAAATAGCCTTGACATACAGTGATCTGCACATATTTAAAGGATGCAATTTGATGAATTCTGACATGTATGTACCCATGTAAACACCACCATATCAAAGTAGAGAACAGATCTGTCACCTCTAGAAACTTCCTTTTGCCCCTTTGCTGACCCTCTATCCCACAAACTCCTCAGAATCTGTTCCTAAGCAATCACTGGTCTGTTTTCTGTCACTATAGAGTATCTTACATTTCTAGAATATCATATAAATTAAGTCATGAAGACATATTCTCTATTTATTCATGTTACATGTATCAACAGCTCATTAGTTTTTTTGTTTATCCATTAGTATTTCAATGGACATGGTGGTTGTTTCCACCTTTGGCCAATTAGAAAGCTTCCATAAATATTTCGGTAAAATTCTTTGTAAGGACATGAGACTTGATCTCTTTTGTGAAAATATCTGGAAGTAGATTGGGTCATACACTGGGTAGTTGCTTAACTTTTTAAAAAACTTTCAAACTATGTTTCAAAGCAGTTGTTCCCTTTTTAACTTTCCATCAGCAGTGTATGAAAGTTCCAGTCACCACATCCTTGCTTTCGTCTTTCTTCTTCTCCTCCTCCTTCTTCTCTTCCTCCTCCTCTTTCTCATTCCTCTTCTTTTTGGCATTAGGGATTGAACTCAGGGGTTACCACTGAGCTACATCTCCAGCCACTTTTTATTTTTTTTATTTTGAGACAGGTCCTTGATACATTGTTGAGGCTGGCCTCAAACTTGAGATCCTTCTGCCTCAGCTTCCCAAGTTGTTGGAATTACAGATGTCTGCCACCATGCCCAGCAGGCCAGTCTTTTAATGCCAGGCATTCAAATGAGTGTTTGGTATTGTCTTGTTAAAAGTTTTTATTTGCATCTTCCCTACCTAATACCTTATGATGTTGAACAGTTATGAAGTCCCTAACTTTTTTCTTTTAATGGTTCCTGCTTTTGGTGTGGTAGCTAAGAAATCTTTGTCTAATCCAAGGTCACAAAGCTGATCTCTTAAAGTATTTTTTTTATTTGTTGATGGACCTTTATTTATTTGTATGAGGTGCTAAGAATCAAACCCAGTGCCTCACACATACTAGGCAAGCACACTACCACTGAGCCAGGACCCCAGCCCCTATTAAAGTATTTTAAGGATGTTGTTCCAGTGTATTCTGGATTGTATCAGTTCTGATGAGAAATCTACTTTCATTTGTGTATTTTGCCTCTGCTTTTAAAATCTTCTCATTATCTTTGCATTTAAGCAATATGATACAGTGTGCCTTGATACAGTCTTTCTCATATTTTTCTGTGCTTGGGGAATTCTATGAATTTGTAGTTTTCATCAACTTTAAACATTATTGCCCATCATTTATTCAGTTATCTTTCCTGAATGTTCCATGCCCTTGGGGATCCAATTACATGGATATTTGGCTATTTGAAATCTTCTTATCTCTGTGTGTTTCATTTTAGATGCTTTCCATTGCCATGTTTTCAAGTTTGCTGATCTTTTGAAATATCTGGTCTCCCGTTAATCCCATTCAGTGCTCTTATACTGAATTTTTCCTTTTAGTCATTATAGTTTTCACCTCTGGAAGTTTAACATGAGTCTATTATTTTCATGTCTTTATTGAACATGCTCTTTCTGTACTCTATCTTGAATATGTACAGTTATAATAACCATTTTAATGTTCTTATCCACTAATTCTATCATCTGCATAATTTCTGGGTCAGTTTCACTTGATTAAATTCCCCCCGATTATGTCTTATTTTCCTGCTTCTCTGTGTGCCTGGTAATTTTCCACTTGGTATTAAATATGAATTTGAATCTGTTATAGGGTCCTGGATATTTCTGAATTCCTATTTTGCATCCTCAGGCTTTGTTCAAGGACACAGTTGAGTTACTTGGAAATAGTTTGCCTTTCATGTCCCACTCCTAAGCTTCTCCCAGGCAGGAACAGAACAGCATTTAGTGAAGAACTTGTCCCCACTGAGGCAAGACTCTCCTTGCGTTTTACCAAATGGCATGTGAGTTATGAAGTCTCCCTCACAGACTGTTGAGAACTGGCTCTGACTTACCCTAGGTGTTGTTACTTCTTTCGTGGGGGGGGGGTGTTAATATTTATTTCTGATCTCCATTTCTTTCTACACATTAGATGTGAAATCTGGCAGCCTCCTGAACTGCTGACTCCATCTCCACAGTTCACGGAAATGTCTAGGGCCTGCCTGATATCCTCTTTTCTGTACCATGGCCTGGAAACTTTATTCAGCCAGTAAGTGAGAACAATTATAGGGACTGCTTTATTTATCTCCCACATCTAGAAGATCATTGTCTCCACTGAGTGATGTCTGACATCTTGAGAACATTTGCTTGATATACTTTGTCCACCGTTTTTAGTTATTTCCAGCAAGAATGTAAATCTGGTCTCTATTATGATATTTTTGTTAAAAGTGGAAATGTTAACTCCGAATTACAGTTTAATGTTGAATGTCACTTTTTCTGGTTTTATTTTCTGGTATTTTTTTTTCCTTCTTAGATGGTAAATTTTATGTAGACATATGGGGAATGAAAATTGCTAGACATGGGGAGAAATTGAAGGGAATGAGCTGATAGATGGTAAAAAAATGGAATGGTTAAAAAAAGGAAAAAGAATTAGAGATGAAATGAGAATAAGTAGTCAGGTCCTGAGAAAATGAGTTGGTGAAGATTATCAAAGTCATTTGAAATTCTACCACTCTTAATTTTTTAAAATTTTTGGTTGTGGTGCTGCAGATGGAACCCAGGACCTTGCACATGCTAGGCAAGTGCTCTACCACTGAGCTACACCCCCAGTCCTTTTTATTTTGAGAAAGTATCTCACCAAGTTGCCCAGACTGGCTTGAACTCTGATCATCCTGCCTCAACCCCCCAGCTAGCTGGATTCCATATGCGTGCCAATACTTCTGGCCCACCTCTCACTTTTAAGAGGCCTCATGTGTGGCTACAGAAGGATTAGAACCATTCATTCTCTTCAACTAGGTAACTTAAACCTGTCAGGGAGATTTATTGTTCTTTACTGGTCCTCCCAGCAAACCAACAAAGACAAAATCTAGAAATTTGTCATCTCTCTTTCTCAGAGAGACAAACACCAAAATTTTGACTAAGTGATAACCCTCAAAGACTCCCAGAGAACAGTTCTTGGGTAAGAACTAGATAGCTCAGACAAAAGGTAGATAGAAGACCAGCTTATTGCCCTGATACTCACTGCTTAGATACCTGACCCTAGGAAGATTATATAGCACATCTTAACTGTTAAAATTAGAATAATAATAGCTATCCTTTATTGAGCACTTGTTCTATGCTGTCAGGTTTTGTACTAATGCCTTTGAACACACTGTCATTTAATCCTCATAACCCTTTATTATTGTCTCTATTTTATAGATGTGGCAACTGCAACTCAGAAAGGTTAAGTAACTTGTGTCAGATCACACACAACTCAAGTGACAAAGACTGGGATGAGCACCAACTCTATTGCTATGCCAAAGTGTATAGAAGTTCTCTCATTTGCATTTAAGGATTCTGTGAGCTGAGTGCCAAGTAGCATGTGGCATAGTTTCACGCTAAGTTCCTCTTCCCTTCCCCACTACATTCCCACATTAACTGAAACATCACTGTCCAGACAATGCAACTTCCTTTCCTGATCCCTTTCAATAACCTGCCTGTCTCTTGTTTCTTTGACAATAAGGGGCCCTTCATCTAGAATTCTTTTAATTCTTTTTTTTTAAAGAGAGAGAGAGAGAGAGAGAGAGAGAGAGTATATATATTAGTTTTCAGCGGACAACATCCTTGTTTGTATGTGGTGCTAAGGATTGAACCCCTGCTGCACACATGCCAGGCGAGCGTGCTACCGCTTGAGCCACATCCCAGCCCTAGAATTCTATTAATTCTACTGACACAAGTGCACTATGCCTCTACCATGTTGAATCACTCTGAACAACTCCTGTGAGGCTCAGGAGCTGATTGTCCCTGTGTCTCCCTCTGCCCATCCTCATTCCTGGCATCTCCCTGCACCTAAGCCACTCACCTCTCTACTCATTAAAATGCTGGCATCTGCCTCTCGGGCATTCACAGTCCTGATTCTTGTCATCATTTAGATAATTTCAACACCTTCATTCATGATCTAACATTCAAGTCCTGCGATTCCTAGACTTCCTTTGTCTTTGGCCCACTTTAGAAACCTACCTCAGACTTCTAGTGGCCAAAATGGAGCAAGCCCACTGTAGCCCATGTGTCCCCCTGATGACAACTAGAAACTGGTCAAAATGCAAAAGCCAACTATCTGAGGACAATGGTAAACAGATAAAGGAAAGAAAACAAAACTTGAAGAACTCTGCTTGTATACTGAAAAGTTTATGTTTTTTTCTTTTTTTTATCTGCTAGGGATGACCCGAGGTGACCCCCGTATGGAACACTGAAGGGACATGGGCAACAGAAATGGAGAGAAACTCTTTCTCCCTGGCAGGAAGACTGGAAAAAAGGGGCTCCTGACTTTCAGAAAAAAATGGGAGGAGTCCACAATTGTTTTCTTGCTAATTTTTTCTTGTCTCCTTTGTCCTGCCCTAAGAGAAGTCTCAGTTACAGAGTGACACTGTAGAGAACAGGCACCTGAAACTCAAAGAGAAAATTCACATTCATGGCCAAAAGAACTAAGAAAGGAGGCTCTAACCTATGACCCAGAAGGGGTGAGGGGAATCCCCATTATTTTTCCTGCTATTTTCTAGTTGCTTTGACCTGAAGAAAGTGTCCAGCAGAAATGTGTAACAGCAGAGCAGCCAAAGCTCCAAACGAAAGAAATCCTGGTTGTCTCAGCAAAGGACCGAGAACCCGGCCTTCTGAATGTGGAGAGTCAGGAAGAAAGCTCAAAGTGAGAGAACCAAAGAAGGGAGTTCCCCAATTCTGCATCTGAACTCACACCAATCCCAGCCTCTTCTTGGGTCACAGAACAGGAACCCAAAGCAGAACAGAAAAGGCTTATGTGTCAGAAAGGAAAAACAGAACCATCTCTACTAACAGATGACACAATTTTCCATTTAAAAAATCCTAAAACTATATAAAAACATTCCTAGAACTAATAAGTTTAATAAAGTCACAGAGTATAAGATCAAGTTATTTCTACATAGTAGCAATGAACACTTGGAACACAAAATGTTGAAGAAAAAAAACCAGTCCCATTTAAAATAACATTGAAAACTGGAAAACTTAGATGTAAATCAAGGAAACATGTATAGGATCTGTATGGTGAAAACTACAGAGGCTGATGAAATAGATCATGAAAGACCTAAGTAAATGGAGAGAGATACCATGTTCATAGATGGAAGACTCAAAACTGTTAAGGTATCGGTTCCAAGTGGATCTAAAGATTCAACAAATTCTAATCAAGGTGCCAGAGTAATTTTTTATAGATATCAACAAGCTTATTCTAAGATGCATACGGAAAAACAAAAAAAATAGAACAGTCAAAATAGTTTTGAAGCAGAACAAAGTCAGGGAACTCCTACAACCCAATTTTAATACATACTATAATGCTACAGTAAGAAAGGCAATGTGATGGGCTGGGGATGTGGCTCAGGTAGTAGCGCCCTCGCCTGGCATGCGTGCGGCCCGGGTTCGATCCTCAGCACCACATACAAACAAAGATGCTGTACCCACCGATAACTAACTAAATAATAAATATTAAAAAATTTTTAAAAAAGAAAGGCAATGTGGTATTGAGTAAAAGATAGATGAAAAGATCAATTAGGGGGTCCAGAAATGGACACAAGTAGAGCCAAACATTTTTTTTTCTGGTAATACTGGATATTGAATACAGGGTGCTATACCACTGAACTACATCCCTTGCCCTTTGTATTTTTAGTTTTGAGATAGGGTCTCACTAAAAATTTCCCAGGCTGGCCTTAAATTTGTGATCTTCCTGCCTCCTCCCCAGCAGGTATAATTGTAGGTGTTCACTATTGCACCTGGTTTTGCCAACCCATTCTTGATGAAGGTGCAGAACCAATTCAATGGAAAAAAATAATAGTGTTTTCAACAAATGTTACTAAAACAATTAAATAGTTAAAAGAAAAAATAAATAAATAAGCTTTGACCTAAATTCAAACTGATATAATAATTAAATTAAATTAAATGGATACAAACATAAAGTATAAAACTTTTAGGAAGAAATATTGACAAACTAGAGTTAGGTGATGAGTACTTAGACATGACATAAAAATCATGCTCTATACATTCTTAAAAAGTAGTAAGTTTCAAAACCACTCTAAGATTTCATCTCACTCCAGTCAGAATGGCACCTATTATGAATACAAACAACAATAAGTGTTGGTGTTGCTGGTGGGACTGCAAATTGATGCAGCCAATATGGAAAGCAGTATGGAGATTCCACAGAAAACTTGGAATGGAACCACCATTTGACCCAGTTATCCCACTCTTTGATCTATACCCAAAGGACTTAAAAACAGCATACTATAGGGATGCAGCCACATCAATATTTATAGCATCTCAAATTCACAATGACAAAGCTATGGAATCAAACTAGGCACCCTTCAACAGATGAATGGATAAGGAAAATGTGGTAGATAGATAGATAGATAGATAGAGATAGATATAGATAGATAGATATAGATATAGATACACACACAATGGAATATTACTTAGCCATAAAAAGAATGACTTTATGACTTTTGTCAGTAAATGGATGGATCTAGAGACTAACATGCTAAGTGAAGTAAGCCAATCTCCAAAACCCAAAGGCCAAATGTTTTTTCGGACATGCAGATGCTAAGACACAATAAAGGGGGTGGAGGTTAGAAGTTCATTGAATTATACAAAGGGGAATGAAGGGAAGGGAGGGGGAATGGGAATAGGAAAGACAATAGGATGAATCAGACCTAACTTTCCTATGTTCGTATATGAATATACCACCAGTGAAACTCCACATCATGTACAGCCACAAGAATGGGATCCTAATTAGAAAAAGTTACATTCCATGTATGTATAATATATCAAAATACATTCTATTGTCATGTATATACAAAAAGAACAAAAGAGAGAGAGAGAGGGAGAGAGAGAGAGAATGAGAAGACAAGCCACAAACTGGAAGGAAATGACTGTAGAACATCTGAAAAAGGTTTGCATCCAGAATATCTCAAGAACTCTCCAAACTCAAAAAATCCTACCAGAAATGGGCAAGAGTGGAACACACATACACACACATCACCAAAGAAATGGTTTAGATCTATACCTTTACAGACCTTAATAACATATGAGTTATTAGGAAATTCAAATCAAAACCACAACGATGACTATAATCAAAAAGATAGATAAGCTGGGCTCTGTGGGTACATGCCTGTAATTCCAGTAACTTGGGAGGCTGAGGCAGAAGGATTGGAAGTTCAAGGTCAGGCAAATGCAAACTCATTCTTCAGTACCTAGTTTTGCACTCACGAAGCATTCCCCAATCACTCCAGCCAATGACACTTGTCTTCAGATTTAACAATCATGAAGAAGTCAGCAAGGACTCTGGGGAAGATAGATTCAGTGTACATGCCAAATTCATGCAGAATGAAGGGTGAATTGCAAAATAACATCAAGACAATTTTTTCCTTTCCATTCTATTCTCTCAAGTGGACAATGGAGTTTTCCAGAGACTACATGGTATGTGTATCTCAATGGATTGAATGCAGAAGCAAATATGAGAATCCAGCATCTGTCTTTTATTACGCCAGTCATTAAAGAGATCAACAAAAATGTGAAACAATGCTCTTCTTTCCATTTTTTTCTATTTTGGAAAATATTCATTTTCCTAAAAGGATGCTATTTAGGTTAATATGTGATGGCTTTGTTATTTCTGTTTCAACATAATTTACAATTGTTTAAAATTTCTTAGTTTTGTTTTCTAATGCATTAAGTACCTACAGATGTGATGTACATTTACAAAAGCTCTTTGGGTGTCCTCAATAATTATAAAATGGGACCCTGAGCCCAAATTGTTTGAGAACTGCTACATCCCAAGATTATTTAGGAGAATCGACAGCATGCCTGAGGCTGGACATCACATTTTCACAAGGGAGCTGGTAACTCAGTTTTCTTCAACAACCTTTATTTCCTTGGAGATACAAAGAAAATATATTATTCAGTTAATCTAATACTGAGGTTTGGCAAAAATCAACATCACTGTGATTAGAATAGGTCAAGCTGTCTTGTTCCCCCAGATAAGAAGGATAAACCTGTCGCCTTAATGCATTAATCTTCACAGTTTGCAAGAATGGAAAGAGTATGAGGTTTTTTAAATACTGAACTTCCTGTTCTTTCACAAATCTCCTTTGGATTATTTTAATCTGGTTAATTATATACTTCAAGTAATTTTTTCAATTTTGGGGGGGGGTACTGGGGATTAAACCCAGTAGCATTCTACCTCTGAGCTATATCCCCAGTCCTTTTTATTTTATTTTGAGACAGGATCTCATTAAATTGTGGAGGCTGGCCTCCAACTTGCAAGCGTCCTGCCTTAGCCTCCCGAGTCCTAGGATTACAAATGTGTGTCACTATGCCTGGATTTTTTTGGGGGGTAGGGTGGGGTGGGGGTTGAACCCAGGGACACTTTACCACTGAAATACATTTGAAAGCCTTTTTAATTCTTTTATTTTGAGGCAGGATCTCATTAAGTTGCTTAGGGCCTTGCTAAATTGCTGAAGCTGGCCTTGAACTTGGGATCCTCCTGAATCACAGGTGTGCCCCACTGACTTCATGGTTCAATAAGTCTCTGTTGAGACACTCCTGCATCACTTTAAGCCATGGAGTATATTAAGAAGCATCTGTCTGATGACTCTGACCAGATTACAAATTCTCATACAGCTTGGATATTCACTAGAGGATTCCTGAAGAAGATGAGCTGCTGATGATAATGGTGGTGACACTGATATTGATGTACTGATTGATCCAACAAATATTTTTTGAGCATTTAGAATTACACAGGTCCAGTCCTGACACTGAGGATCCAGCATTGGACAATGGAAGCAAAATTCATGCCCTCTTGGTACTCACATTCCAGTACAGGACACCAAGAAAAATATGTGAAATACAATTGTGTATTGCAGTGAGGCAGGAGAAGGGGTTAAAATAAACAGGCAGGAAACTTGGGCTCCATCAAGGTCAGGTTTCTATTCAGTAGGCCTGAGAAACTACAAGCACAAGACAGGCTTCATCAAGGTCAGGCTGACCCCCATGTAAGCAGGAAAACTGATAGGGAGACATCTGCCTGGTACCTGGACCCCCACCAAAAAAGGAAGCGGGGCACGGTAACCCAAATGAACCAAAGAGTCTGTGAAGAGCTCGTGGACACTGAGTGCCTTGCCCAGATTTGGATAGGGGGCTAGCTCCCTTAACCCTGTAGATCCACATAAACCCCTAGACGATAGCCACTCTTTAGTATCCCTCCCCTTTGGGGGCTCTGCTTTCTTTCTATCACTTTAATAAATCCTGTTACTTTGCTCTCACCCTTGTCTCCACGGATTTCATTCTTCTAATTCGTGAGACAAAGAACCCAAATCCATACTCCTGTGCTACAGGGAGAAAGTTGTCAGAATCAAAATGCAATCACTAATGTCAAGTGTTGGGGGAGAGGGGTTCTCATGTCTGATAACAGGAATTATCACCAATTGCTCTGCCCAAACAACAACCTTGCTGTTATGCAACTTCTATAAGACATCTATTCAGTAACACCAGTCCTAACCAGAACCTTGAAAGTAGCCTTACTAAACTGTAACCTTACAGTCAGGGTTGCTTCTGTGAAACCCTGTGTATGAGTCCAGTTTTTATTACTCTAATGAAATCTGTAAGGCAGTCTAACTTTATAAGAAGAGCAGATTTACTTCGCTCACAGTTTTGGAAGTTCAAAGGCATGGCACTGGGATCAGCTCACCTCTAGTGAGGGCCCCTTGGCTGCCTCGCATTAGAGTGGGAACATATGTGAAAGAGAGAGATTACATCTTGAAACAGGAAGCCAGAGAGGCTGAGGTCCCAGGATCCCTTCTGAGGTGCATATCTCAGTGACCTAGGCATTCCTACTAGACCACACTCCTTAAAGGTCTCACCACCTACTAACCCCACCACCCTGGGGACCAAGCTCCCTTAGGGGGGCCACACTTAAGCCAGATCCAAAGCAAAGCACTCTTTCCAAGCAATGTCCAACTCACACCCTGCCACCCACCTGTGATAAGCCCTTTAAGTTTCCTCTTATTTCAGCCTCCCTGGATAACCCATGATCCATCACAGCACACCTAATTATAAGTGTGCTATAAATTTCTGGATTATAATCCCTTGAAATATCCCCAGATAAAGTCATTTCTTCTGAGAGCCACTTTCTATTGTTTTAGGTTGATGATTGTAATAAAGGCTAGGGGAGAAAAGTAAATCTTGGAAGGCGATAGAGATTTGTACTTTGGTTGCAAAATGCTAGTTAGGGTGAAGAGAAGGTCTTAGTAAAAGGTAATATTTTTAAAAGATCTCAGGAAAGTGACAGAGAAAGTGGTGACAGAAGAGAAAAAAGTAATTTAGGCAGAAAGAGTCCAAAATCCTGATGGCAGGAGAGAACCTAGTGAATTGATAGACACCAAGGAAGTCAGTGTAGCTGGAATGGAGAAGGAGAAGTGGGAAGAAGAGGAAGGGGAGCAGGATGAGGAGGAGGGGAGATAAAAGGAGTGGAAGAGGAAGGGGAGGGGAGAGAGGCTGTAAATACTTCGGGCACTAAAGCCTTAGGAAGCTTGGCCTCGGAAGCTCCTCCCCATCACATTCCCTGCTGTCTTGGGGAGAGGCGGTTCTCCACCAAATAAGGTCAAACCATTTGTAGCACCTAATGGAAGCCAGAAAATGGAAATAACCTAAATACCCAACAATACAGTTTAACGCAATTAACCTTTAAAATTCATACCTATGCATAACATTTTGACTTAGGGAAATGTTTATATTACTAAATGGAAAAAGTAAGGACCAAAGCTGCTCTTGTTTAAGAGCATGCATATATGCATCCTTCCTCCTCCCCAGAGAATTATACCTCTGAGTGGTTGAATTATTAGCATTTTAATTATCTCATTATTTTCTAACTTTTCTATAATACATCTTTATTACTGTTAAGATCAGAAAATAATAACATTTAGAAGTGAATTTAATAATTCAGTCCAGTGTCACTTCATCCTCAATGAAATATTTCAGCTCATAAATTTATTAGGTACCTTCAAGATATTAAGGGAATTTTAAATAGTCCAGTATTATCACTGTTAAGGCCAAGATTGCAATATGAGACTATGAGATATTAAAATAATTTGAGAATTATTTAAATGACTTTTAT